CGAGATCAGAGTGTCAAAAAATCGCGTTTTTTGCAATATTTGAGAAGCACTAGCAAATAACGGAAACGTGATAAAACCTTTCACTTAGCCTTAAATGAAAGATAGCACCTTAACCTGATGATCGTTTATAGTAATTTGAATAGTAGTTTGAATAGATTTTCATAGACGGATTGTTATATGTGACACTTTCTCGAGTAAAGAATCCACAATTGTAATTTTTAGCGACTTCAAACTTGGACCTTCTTGTACTGAAATTGAATAGGCCACAAAACCGCATACTCGAAATCTTTCTAGGAAATCTAATTAAAAATATCAACATTTTTTTTTTAATTCTTTTAAGTTTAATTAATTTTTCTGAACTTTTTGCAAGCTTTGAAACTTCTATTTATGTGGTATTGAATAACAAGTTGTAAACAGGTGGCAACCCTCCTCAAAAATATTTTCGGCAGTAAACTTTCCTAAACCTCTTCAATTTTATACTCATATTGCAATATTCATTTTATCTTTCAATTTAAACAGAAATTTACAAACAGGAGGCAATCCTCAAGAAAAATATTTTCGGTTTAATTTTTTATCAATCAACTTTAATTGCAATTTTCAAACAGGTGCCAACTCTCTAATTTTTTTTCTTCCCATACTCTAAGTTAGACCTCATTTTGAATTTTACTGCTATTATTTTGACCGTAACTGTATCTCTCTTACTTTGTTTTTATGGTTTTGTCAATTATATGTTATATATATACATATCTACATATTTTTGTATAAATTAAAGAGTGTTGCCATGAAATAAAAAAAATCTATCATAAGCTTATAACTCCACACCTTTGTTAATATATGGTTCGTAGTTGGGCTTTTAAAGCAAATACTTGCTTTCTCATTTTTCCCGTTAATTTTTTGTAAATCCCGTATTTTTGGGACAAATTATGCATTTGTCCCGTCGGGCTGGAAAAAAAAAATCTGGCAACACTAAATGTTACAAATACTTAAAAAAAATGCAAATTAGTATGTACTATCTAAATGACCAATATTTGATACTCACATCTTGCTCATTATTCAATGTCTAAAAACTTTAAAAAATATTCGCACTCCTACTTTTTAATTTTTTTAAGATCCAAACATACTAATTTTCACTCGTCAATAATCGGGAGTACAAAATAGAGCAATTCTGATTATCCTTTTTGTATGACTCTATGGTACATACAAATATTTGTACATACACACACATACATATGTACATGTATGTACATATATGCAATGATTCTTCTATTGTGATTCGTGTGTGCAAGGGATTTCGTGGTTTTCGTTAAACTTGAGCTATTATTTAAAAATTTTTAATTTCACGCTCGATTTTGTACGTTCATTACTCAAAGCCGTCAATACACGTTTATAAATAATCTGGTGCGCTGAACATATTTCTGCTGTTATTGTTTTTATGAAGCAGAATTTTACTTGTTGCTCTTTTTTGTATACATTGGCAGTAATTTTTAAAATTTGCAGTTGCTAACTTTTGGGGAAATTACAGCCAACTGTTCAACAATCCCTACAAACCCAAACCAAATTTGACACTTCATTTGCTTTTGCCAATCAGTTCTATGCAATGACTATGCAACACCTAGCCAGTGCTGCGAGATCCCGGGATCTCGGCCTTTTATAGGTCCCGAAAATCCCGGGATTATTTTCCAAGAATTTTTAATTCTCACTGATGGCAATAATAGAAACTTCTTTTCTTTAGCAGTATCTATTGGCTATATTTCTTTTTTTATTTAATAATTAATATTTTTTTATAAATGTCTAGCCCATTATACATATAATACAGTGCGGTAGTAAATTTTGCACACAAAATCAATATATTCGCGAAACCATGGGTCAAATATAGTAAAATTGCGTTTTTAGTTTTTCACTCTGACGTCAGTAATTTAAAAATTAATTGAAAATTTCAGTGAAATGTGGTTAGAGAAGAAGTATGGGGATTGAGTTAAATAAGAAATTCTGTAGAATTAAAACAGCTTGAATTTTTTGGTGCATAAGGACTAGTAAGTATTGAAAATGTTCTTTTAAAATTTTGTCCTTGAAATTTCGCAATATTTATTTTTGAAAAATTTATTTGTTAAAAACTTATATAAACTCGATAACATCCTCGAATTTCGTCCTTTTAACTTCACCAGCTTAAAAAATTACCTATTCGTCCTTGTGAATCCAAAAAATTTTAAATTTTCTTAAATTTTACAAAAATTTCCTCTTTCATTTGGTACCCATATTTTTATTGCACATTGCATTTAATTTTTTGAATAGTTGGAGTTAATTATATCTTTGAAATTACAAAATCATTCAAATTAAATCCTGCGGTCCGAGAGAAAAAATAAAACGGCACTTTAAATAAAAAAGTAGATTTTAAACCCATTTATTTATAATTAAATGGTAGGGAAAGATAGAAGCAATTTTTTCGATTTAAATTGTTGAAAAGTAATGAATAGCTAAATTCCGGGATTGTGATAACGACATCCCGAAAACCCCGGGATCGTAAAAATCGAAAAAAAAAATGTCATCCCTACTACCCAGCATTGCCTTATAATGTCTTCTAACGATCAATGACATTCCCATGATAAAATAATGCCTTCTTGAAGCGGCAGGGTAGGCGCTCCCCATCGCCTAATTTGATTCCATTTTAATTTCTGTGGTAATTTTGTTTTTTTGCAGGGTACTAAGATACTTACATGTATTTACATATACAAGCACATGTACGCATAGTGTCAGGAGCTCAGCAATATGTCTTTACCATTTCGCATGTTGCATATCGACGATAAACTCAAAACCCTTAACGTAAACAGCAACACAAACCAAATTAAAACCACAAATAAATTGGCTATTATATTGTACAGTGATGCCGATAATAGTAATTATATTAGCCATCATCATCATCGTCATCCCCAACATAATCGTCGTCTTGAGCATTTGCACATTTTCCTCTCAATGGGCTAGCGACGGCTGTGTAGTTCATCAACACAATTGGTAATTCATCAATGTAATTGGCTGCCATATTTTAGCAGCTGCCCATTGGAAATTTTGAAACTTTATTGCCTGCAGGAGCTGCTTTAGTAAAAATGTCATATGTTGTTGTACATGGAAGTGTTAACTTATTTGGGGCTCCACGCATTTGGTAATTGATTGTTTTGTGGCCTTCTGAGAAAGAACAAAATAAAAACAAATTCATAGCCGCCGCTTTTAGTAGCATCAAGCATGTTTCAAACACTGGTTTAATTCTCATTGTTATTAATTTGTTACCTATTACACTATTTCCAAATTCAAGACTTACCCCTAATTTGCTTACATTCTTAGTTATTGAGAACAGTATACATACGGTGACCATTCGTACCGACTTTAGCGGGACTGTACCGATTTTGAGAAAATTGTCCCGCTGAATATATTTTATAATTCGGGACGTATAAGTGTCGCGATTTTTTATATTTGTACCGATTAAATCCCCTTTTTCAGTGTTTTCTTATTAACCCTTTGAAGACCGATGTTTCATATAGGCAACAATGATTCTGATTTATAAATCGTGTTGTTTGGATTTTTTTTTCGAAAAGTTTGCAAACATTTATAAGCAGCATTTCATAACGGTCAAACCAAAAATCATCAAATTTTCAAAAGGTCAAATTTTATACCAATTCATATTTAAGGCGTTACTAACAATAATATGCTGTAAACAAATTTTTAGCCAACCCAACTTAATTCAGTCTTAAAAGGTTAACTTAATACTCTGCCCCAATGCCCCAAAATATGTTTTTCGGACAAATGTGATAGCACTTTCATTATCACAGAGAACATAGATAGAAGGGAGCCATAAACATAGCATCCTTATTTTCTATGATTTTTGGTTATGTTTTATTCTGTCAATCTGCTACTCTCGCTACATTGCAATCTATCATTCTTGCATACATTTTTTAAAGGTTTTTATAATTATTTGTTAAGTTTGTTATTTTTTTTTAATCAAACCATACTAACTTGACCTTTGTGAAATTATAAAAAATAATAATAATTGTGTGTATACATTTTTGATATCATTTTTCAAGTTCTTATATTTCATTTGTTTTAAATAAAACTGTATTAAAAGATGTTATATCTTTTTATTTTAAAAACAAAATTGTGTGATCGGACTCGATGTTTTAGAAATGTCCCGATTTTCGTCCACAGTAATCTGGTCACCATAAGTAAGCATCACACATAGCACAACTGCTTTCAGTGAAAACGGTATCTGATTAAAAATTCCATTTATAAAATAATATCAAAAACAATTAGAAATTCAGCCGGGGGTAGATAATTCTAAAACTTTATAATCCCATTATCCGGTAGTCTAGATTCTAGGATTGGCTTCGTGTTATCCGAATTTAATAAAATTCTTTAGCCTCTATAGAGTTCACAATTCTGTAGTGGATATAACGAGTTATTGTAATAGTAAATCGAGATTCTGGATAGTGCAATTTAAATTTAAAATCCCTGTTATTAATTTTATTTAATTTAGGTTATCATTTCTGACTAAAAATATTGAATGACCCGAGTTTTCTCTTAATTTGGAAACTGGGAGCCGGGTGTTTTCAAGCTACCATTTTTCAAAAAATTCTTCTTCTTAAAGTTTTTTTTCTGGCAGGCTGTTGGTGTATTATGGGTTCAGTATATTGGTGTATTTGGAATAAATTTTAATAGAAATAGAATAAATTGTAAAAGAAAGTAGGATGCCAAAAAACAGGTGATCTTACAATGTACAATTGGCCCAATATTTAATTTTCTTTTTAAAAGCACATACTTACATTAAAACCGATGGCAACTCG